GGTTTGTACTGGCAGGTGACATCAAACGTTAGGATGTATTAACGCCATCTACTGTGCTGGCGTGTGGACCAGAGTAGCTCCCTTTATTCTAAACTCTTATAAATAATCCTATTTCCTACAGCCTTGCAACAAACTAAATTATAATAAAACTAAAATGCTTTTTTTAAACCAAACTTTTATGTTCCTCTTATATTTGGCGCAATTATGTTTAAATATTTTGCAAAAATATGTTGCTGTGCATGATGGGGTTTTGCATCTAAAGGCTAACGTCTTACGTGCATTGTTGCCAGGTTGGGATGTTTCCCAATCTGGCAGTTTAGGATAGCCGTCTATGGGTTAAAAAAAATGTTTTCTTTTGAATTATGGCCTAAGAGATCAATAGATTTTGGTTCATATTGGGCAAGATTTCGTATATCCAGGCGGTTTATGAACATTTTTTGGGCTGAAAAACGTGAGTCAGTGACATCTGGCAACCCTGATGATGTGGTGAGTTGCGTTCATTAAGCAGCAGCAGTCACTGGGGCCGGTGAAATGCCAGGGCCGAAAATCATCCAAGCCTGTTAACAATCCATGTAATCCACACATACAAAGAAATCAAATCATAGATGTACAGAACTTAGGTTATGTGTAATAAAGTGGAATGGCACAGGGAAAAAAGTATTGAACACACACACCGGTTCAGTCCCAAATGATGGCCAATAAAAAGGTGTCTCTGGTATCACACAAGAAACATCTCATGATGGGTAAAAGTAAAGAGCTTTCAAAGGACCTTTGCAACGTTAATGATGGCATTAGTCACAGAAGGATTTCTAAACTTCTGAGTGTTCCGGTGAGCACTATTGCAGCCATAATCCGGAAGTGGAAAGAACATTGATTCGCCATTAAACCAACCAAGACCAGGTGCTCCTCGCAAGATTTCTGACAGAAGAGTGAAAGGAATGATCAGAAGAGTTGTCCAAGAGCCAAAGACAACAAGTGGAAAGCTCCAGAAAGACCTGGAATAAGCAGGTACAATGAAATGCACTAAATCGCCACGACCTGTATGTGAGCTCACCATGCAAGACTCAACTGCTGAAGAAAAAGCAGGTTGAAACTCGTTCAAAGTTTGCTGCCCATTTAGAAAAGCCTGTGAAATACTGGGAGAATCTGGATGCCATGATATGTGTTTGGAAGTCAAATGGCACTGCACATCATACCAAAAAAAACCATACTAACAGTGAAGTTTGTGGGTGGGAACATCATGGCATAGGACTGTTTTTCAGCATATGTTACTGGAAAACTTTAAATAATTGAAAGAATGAACAGAAAAATGAAGAGAGACATTCTTGATAAAAATCTGCTTCTATCTACCAGGATGATGAAGATGAAATATGGGTGGACATTTCAGCAAGACAATGACCCCAAACACACAGCCAAGGAATCTCTCAATTTCAGAGAAAGAAAATAAAGCTGCTAGAATGGCCCAGCCAATCACCTGACTTGAATCCAATAGGAAAATCAATGCAAAGAACTAAAGATCAGAGTCCATAGAGCAGGCCCACGAAATCTTCAAGATATGAAGACTGTTTGTGTGGAAGAATGGGCCAAATTCATGCCTGAGCAATGCATGAGACTTATTTCTACCTACATCTACTTGCATCTTGAAGTGAACTGTTGAACTGTAAATATGCTTGTGACGGTTCTCAGTCATCCAGGTCATAGTCATTCCAGGAAGCTTTTTGAAATCAAAATGTTAGGAATAGCATTGAGTTCCAGGCTTTATACAGTCGCCCAACAAAGCCTTGTTTTTGTTTTGAAAACATGCAAATTGGAACAGACGAAGGAGTCCACCCATTTGGAAAGGTGGTCGTTTGGCTTCGTTACACTGCAATACCCCATACCTATCTAAGTTTCTGAAAGGTCGGTCGTTAAAGGGGATTATCAGACTGGCTGAATAGACGAGGTCCTCCATTCTCCTGTACAGGGGGTGGGACTGCGATGATAACAGGAAGGGATTAACTCAATAGCTGCATTGTAAGTTCAGCAAGACAATGAACCCGAACACTCAGACAAGGAAACTCAATTTCATAAGGTGGACTCAGGTTCCAGCTTTCAAAAACTTAAAGCCAACAACGGCTTTAATCCAAAGTATTAAACACATTTCAGTAACTGTGTTCAATACTTTTTTCCATGAGACATTTCACTTTATCACACATAACTTAATTTCGGTTTGATTTCTTTGATGTATGACATTTCTTTCATTGTTACCGACATCTGGTGAAAATGTCATGTCAGTAGCACCTCTAGAAATATATTTACTAAGAAAAATTGTGGCGTGTTCAATACTTATTTCCCCAGCTGCATTGTCTTTGAACATACGCCGTACTGGCTGTGTGTTAGACAAACAAATGAAAGTGTGAATCAAGCTCAAATCATGGTGAAAATAACTCTGCACATAAATTCACCACAACTTCCTTTCAAAATATGAGTTTATTAATGAAATCATTCAGCTCCAAGTCAAACATATTTCAGTAAAAAACTCTTGACTAAAATCAGTGAAACTAAACTAAGCTACTATGTACATATAAGGAGAAACTTGGATGAAAACATAATGAGATGACGCAATGATATCACAGTACAGCATGGATTTTTTGACACCCAAAGTTTATCTTGAAGAATAGCTTTTGTCTAATTTAGGGCAATTCTTGGTGTTTTAAACCAATTCACAATGATAATCAATGAGGTGAATAAAATATTTGGCCAAATAATGTTTTATTAAATGATTTGCTTAATGAGAAATCAATAACCTTTAGTTAATTGATTCTTAGCCTTAGCAGCTATCAGACACGAGAATTCCCCTCGAATGACTTTTGATCATCATTTGGTAATCCAAATGTAACGAGCATATCAGAAAACACCTGAATGTTAACATTGTAGTTGTGTTTAAACCGTTAAGCTTGTTCCAGCTTTATAAACACCTCGGACATGTTAGCATAGCGTACCATGCAGTCCATCTTGTTAGTGTCTCCTTTACTCCAAAGTAAACACATTAAATGACCCGAATCATCAAAAAGACATATTGTTAATCTGGAAAATCTGTCCCTAAATGTGGCAGACCTGTGAACCTCTGCTAAAATCTGTGTTTCTTGGGTTTCCTCCTGTATTTAGTGTTAGCAGTGCACTACCCGATCCGTCCAGGAAGTCTGATCCGTACCATCAGCCCATTTGCGCCTGCACAGCCAGATATACATCTGGGTCGCCCGACACTTTATTTAGTAAAAAAAGACCTAAATTACGTTATTCCCTCCCCAGAAATAGTAAACGTACTAAACTATAATGTGTTAGAGGCTAATAATGTATTTCGTGAGAAAATAAATACCTTAAAATCCTTTTTCTTTTAACAGTCTGTGCCCGATCTACACCGGAAATGGAATCCTACTCTACGTCCAGGAGGGAACTTTTTCGTCTTTGGATTTAAACATAAATCTAGTCTTTTTGAGTTTAATGTTTTCCTTTGGTGTTAAGGGCTGGTTATCCTCCCGCAGCAGTGTGTTGCAGTGAGCTTGTCGCAGGTATGATACAGATATTTTAGATTCATGCCCAATTTTGAAGCGTGGTTTGTGCTATGTTATTCCACGCCACAACGCAAGAGGGATAATCATGAACTAGCTAGGATTGTGGGTGTCCGTGTGTCGGTTTGACGAGCTTGTTCGCCATAAACAACCCTCATCCAATGCCAGACGACACACAGTTCATCCGTGATGTTCCCGGAAGACTGGCCGTGGCGCTTCGTGTTTTGGCTTCGGAAGCACACCAACAGACCGTCGCTCAGAGCTACAAACTGGTGTCCTGTACGGTGTCTAGGACGGTGTCGGGGGTGTGCCAGGCGTTGTGGACGGCACTATATCCAGAGTTTCTGCCATTAGTTACCAAACAGGAAATACGCATAATGTAGAGCGTACGTAGATTTGACCAATCAGAGGCCTCGTGTCTGCGGCACTGTCTGCGATCAACTACAATTTTGGAGAGGTGCAGCAGAGTGTTTGCGAAAGGGGTGGAGGCATGTCTGCGTTAACTGCGACACAACCAGGCTTTAACCTTATGGTATATAGTGCATCACCTCAAGAAATAAACTAAAATGCAAATAAACATGGTTTAATCATGTTTTGAAGACTGCTCTTAGCATGTTTGATGATGACCTCAGACAAGCAGTTTAATAGAGAAAATGTAAAAAGCATCAACATTGTCTCAGAAAAGTCATAAAAC